CATGACCAAGTCCAATACCTTAGCCAGTTGAACTTCTTCCAAGTTGATTTGCTGAAAAATGTCACACTGGCCTTCTGTGTGAAATCTAGCTTGCTGTAGGCATGCAGCGTAGCGCTTTCGTCACGTTTGTCGACACCTGCAAAAGCAGTATTCCGTAGTATTTTCCCCGCATTGTTTTTGCGGGTAGGATTTTTCCACATTTTTGTAGCATTTGATGGCGCCGTCTCGGTTTTCCACCAATCATGACCGCGGCGATCTTCGATTGCGTATTCGTCTCTGTAGGTTTTCTTTGTTAGAGGCTCAAGCACCTCAAACCCGAAATCCCTGAAAAGAATCTCCCACCACTGCTTCCAAGGGTGCATGGTTACGTGATGGTCGCCGCCCTGATTAATTGCCACGCCGATTCCTAGGTACCGACAGCTCTTGAAGGTGTTAAGGATGTTGTGCAATATCGGTTCATCTATGTGCTCAAGCACCCAGCAGCTCCAACACAGGTCGAAGACAGTTCCTGGGACGTACGGCCCTTTCCAAAAATCATGCAGCTGATTGGTCTTCATTACAGAACTAAGAACATTGGTAGGGTCGCCCTCAATGCCTGCGACGCTGGGAATATGAAGCTCTGACGCAAAAACCTTCATCGCCTCCCCCCTTCCTGAACCGACATCCAACACCGACTCGACATCGAGTTCCGCCTTGAGCAGTCGCCACATGTTGCGGTAAAGGTTTCCACCTACTACGTTTCCACCGACGGTTGGATGTACCCCGCGCATGGGGTTTGCCAACTCTTCTACCTTAGGGACCTCACGCTGCAAGAGGCCAGACACCTGGGGGCCATGTCCTGTCTCCTCGCGGGGGTATCCGTACTTCCTTCGGGCGCTAAACTCACGCGCCTCACCATGCCTAAGTCGGTCCCTCGGTAGAGGCCAGCCTCCTTTATGGAGTAAAGCTGGTGGCGGCGCGCGGTCCATCCAGATACCACGACATTTGAAACAAGAAGAAAAGGACAGGCCGGACCGAAAGTAAGAGACTACGAGAAAAGCACACGCCATTAGCGGCCAGTGTGCCAGTGCCAGTCCTCCTCTGGAATCGGCCATGGCTCGCCACCGAAAAGGCATATCTTGTCCACCAAGCCAAACCGAATAACGGCGAAAATTCCTCTAAAATGGTGGGCCATCAGTCACTGACAAGCCCTGCGGCAGACAGTCACTCAGTGACTTCGGCTGCTCCACGACGCCGAAAAGCTCAGAGCTGCACTGGCGCGCCGAGCTCTCCACCATCGCCGCCTGGGATTGCACGGCGAGTAAGTCCGAACAGACAAACCACACCGCAAACTACTGGCGCGAGGGGAGACCGATGCGCAAGCGTGGCCACCTTTTGGCTAAGTCACTGACATTGCTGAGAATTCGCAGGCGCTGCCGTGTGGTCGATGGAGATGCTTTCTGGTCGCACAGCCGGCCACTCAGTCTAGGGTGCCTAGACTGATGGGCGACAGCGCGGTCTGCTGGTCGGGGCGTCTTTCTATCTTTGTGCGCATCTGAGTGTGGGGCCCGCATCTATGCATGTCCGCCAGACGCGGGTGGGCACCTCCCTCTTGGACGCGCCCGTCGGCGTATGAGTCAAACTGAGAACGAAGCAGAACAAGGCAAGGCGCATGCCCGAAAAAAAGGCGCGGAAGCTGGTGCATGATAGCAACGCTACCAAAGAACGCACGGAGTGCACCAGGTGGCTGGCATTCATTTGCATAGATCGGCGCAGAAGCTGAGGCTGCGAGCCTCTACCGAAGTGCCCCGGACCCCTTTTTGGAGGGAATGCCGGGCGGCGAGGCCTCCCCCCGGCCTCTTTTGACCCGCTTCCACCTCCCGGCGTCGTCCTGCGTGTACCCTACAGAGCCGGCAACAGTTTACGGCTTCAGGCCATGGGGATAGAACTCCAGAGGGGTCCCTCCGGCTTGGTAGGTATTTGGGTTTGTCCACTTTCCCATGGAAAACGGCGCGGGAAAACGGACAAACCGGAAGCCAGGCAAAGGCCCCAGCTTGTCCGTCTTCCCATGGTTTTCCACAAGAAAACGCCGGACAATTGATTCAGAAAGGCCAGGCAAGGCGAAGAGTGGCGTAGTCCGTTTTCTCATGGGAAACCATGGGAGCGAAGCCGGGCAATCTGGATGGCCAGGTAAAGAATCCAACCTACAGACTCAGGCGCGCGCTTCCTTCCCCCCCGTGACTCTTTGGGGCCCTCTACCACAGACCACTCCACAGGGGGGGGGCCGTGGAACCCCGCGAGCGTCCTATCCACCGGGAGGAGCATGACACGCGAAGGATTCTCACTATGACACGCGTTGGCGCCACGCGTTGGAGAGCGTGACACACGCGAGATTCTCACCGTGGCACATGTTGGCGCCACACGCTCGGGGGCGTGACCCGTGACACGCGAAGGACTCCCACCATGGTACACGTTGGCGCCATGCGTTGGGGAGCGTGACACGAGATGGATTCTTGCCATGGCATGTGTTGGCGTCACGCGTTAGTTGGGGAGCGTGACACGAGAGGGGTCCTCACCGTGGCACGTGTTGACGCCACGAAGCCCCCCGGGAAGAAGATCCTGGCTCTTGCCGTGTTGTCGCGTAGCTTGAAGCACGGGCTACAAGCTGCTTTGCCGTCACAACCTCCGCAGACGATGCCACCGGTCAGCAAGTAGCTCGCTAGTGTGTCACCTGTGTGCTCCGCAAGTTGAGCGATAATTTTTGTACATTTTCTAGCACTTCTCCTGCCGTTCAAGATCTAGCTCCTCTCTTACCCTCCTAGGCTCGTCCTCGACGTCCAGTCCCTCTCACCTGTACCATTCCACTCTAGTTTTTTCCTCTTCGGCTGCGTCCTTTGCCGCTTGTTGTGGTTCTAAGTGCTGCTGTCTACCTTCCAGCTTATCCCTCATCACCTCCACCTTCAGTCTGGCCGTCTCGTTTCTCCAGTAGACTGCTGTCCTATTGAGGTGCGCGATCTGTTGCGCGGCGGGCATGTCCGCCACGTTTGGCTCCTCAAGCCATGAGCAGAGTAGAGCTCGGCCCCAGCGTCAGCGTCTCTGTCTGGGTGCTTCTTTGTCATACTTACTAGCTTCGTCCCATTCTACACACGAGTAGAAAGCTACTGAAGACGAAACCCCTACCCCTCGGAGAAATGCCGGAGCTGTTCGCTTCATTCTGGTGGCGTCTTAACAAATAGCAGAGGAGGCGCCCCAGTTTTTCAAGGCTTTGCCCGACTGGAAGGCCCTCGGTCTCTCCTGGTACGTTGCGGGTCCAGGATCCATTCTGCAGGTATACTATCTATCAGGCACACTTCGCCAGAAACTTAAGCCAAGCACCAACAAAACGCACTGGTGCCCATGGTAAGAGAATCACACCACACGCCCCACTTACTGGCGTCGGAACTCCTGCGAACATGCGCGGCACATCTGCACCCACTGCACGCGCAGCGAGTGCCGCTCTTTCTATCTTAGCTCTCTCCTTTCTTTGCTGTTTTCTCTTATATATCTAGGATCGAGATTCTAAGACACTTAAGCCATATAGATACACGCCATGACTATAATACAATAGTAAGTATATAACTCCCCAGGACATTATCGAGAGGCGCGCCCCGGGTAGGAGGCGGAAAGAGGGAACCATCGTGCGGGGCGGCGGTGGCGCAAACGCCACCGGGCTCCCCGGTTGAAAGTAACGCGAAAGCGCCTGGGCTGTTGCTTGTGTGTTGGTGTTCGGTTCTTCTGTGTCTACGTCTAGCCCGTTCAGGATGATCCCGAGCACCGCCCAAACGCCTGGCGGCTCTACGGTCACGCGGGTGCCGTGGGTGTTCTACCGCTTTCAGCTGTTTGGCGTTTCTTTGTTGGTTGTCGTGGTTTTCGTGCTCACCTTGTCCAGAATGATCCGGAGCACCACCCAAACGCCTGACGGGTTTACCGTGGCGCAGATGCGTCTGGTTTTCAGGCGGACACATCCCGAGCCAACGAATGCGGTTAAACTTTGGTTAAAATTTTCGGTTTTTGAGAAAATCCCGACCGAAAGACACCACAACGCACCCGCGTCAGCTGATCTGGCAGCCGGGGGGCAACAACCGACCCGACACAAAAGACCCACGAAAGACCCCACCGGGCGAACCCGTGTCACTACAATGCAATAGCAGGCGCCCGCGGGTCTAGCGCATGCACCTGGGCCAGCCTCCAGCAAGCGGCCCCACACACTTCGAGAAAGACACCCCAAAAAAAGGCCCGACACCAAGAGCCGACACCACACCAGCCCCCGAGGCTCACCGGCGCGGACGTTAAGGCCACACTTCGAGGGGCCAGCGAACTGTGGCCCCGGCGCCCCCTCCAGAATCACGCGACCCGACCCACGCAACCTGACTGGCGTAGACGTTACAGCCCCACCTCGGGTAGACAGAGACACTGCTCGACGCGGGGCCTCAACGTCCACACGCGCACCACCCAGCCAACCCCGCGGAGCTTGCACGAGCACCACGCCACGCTTCGAGGCCTGCCAGCGGGATGCGGCGGGTGCGTCAGATGCGGCCCCGTCTACGTCACGGCTGCGCAGCCCGAAGGCAAGCGCCCCAAGACCCCGCGGGAACCGGTTAAAAAACCGGTTAAAATTGACGGCTAAAAAAACGGTTAAAATTCACGCCTAAAAAAACGGTTAAAATTCACGGCTAAAATAACGCCAAATTTGGGAACGGTTAAAAAAGTCGGCGGCAGGTCCTTCCAAAACTCGGCGGGACTGCTCTAAACCGACCCCAAAAGCAAAAGCGGCCGACTTCTAGGCGAAATCGCACGAGAAAAAGACCAAAAATTTTAACCGTTTTTTAACCGTTTTGTAACCGTTTTTTCCAACCCGGGAAAGGGTCGGAAAATTTTAACCGTTTTTTAACCGGTTTTTAACCGTCGACCGGGACCCCACCCCCAAGCCCAGACGAGACCCCTACCGGGTCCCCCCATCCTTTCGAGTGCGAGGCCCAGCACTTGCTTCCGCGCGAGCTGTTGCGCCAATCGTCAAGCCCCGGGGCCGTGGCTCAGTGTGGGCACCCAATGGCAGAGGCACTCCCCTAAATGCCCCCGGCCCCTCCTCCACAAGGGGCAGACCAAGACGACCAAGCAACAGAAGACAAACACAAACAAGCCCAACCCACTGAAAAGCAGCACGAAAACACCCAGGAGGCCAGAAGTATCACACCCGAAAGCCGACGGCCTATCGCCTCCCTGACCAGCTTCAGCGATGCACCCCCTTCAGCCGACACTCCTAAGACATGCACCCTCAAGCCGAGCCACTCAGCCAAAGCATACAGAACCAGAACCGACCGAAAAAAACGACCGAAAAAGCACAGGGACTTTTTCAGTCGTCTTTTTTGATCCGCTGCCGCAGATTTCAAGATCCGCAGGACCTCTGTAGAGTACCAGAAAGGAAACACACTCAGAAGCGCCCCCCTTGTCGCTCGCAAATATACCAACAAAACAACAAGAGAAAGGCAGAAAAACCCCAGAAACGAAACAGACACACAACGGCCCAGGGCAGGCGCCCCGCGATCCCAAAAAGCCGACTTTTTTAACCAGTTTATAACGCCATTGGTGGCCGGGTGCCCGTCCGCCTGACTGGTTTTCCACATTTCTCGGCCGTCGCTTAGTTGTTTGGCCGTCTGCTTTTTTGTATGTTGTTCAGAGTTCAGCTCTGACCTTGCTTTCAGCTTCGAGCTTTCAAGCGACTCTCCCTGGGCTTTCGATTCAGCTCCGAGCTTTCAGCCTTGGCCCTTCGACTTTGGGTCTTCAGCTTTGAGCTGTCAGGTGTGGGCTTTCAGCTTGACACTTTAAGGCTCAAGGCTAACCAATTCCCAGGCCTCTTTCAGTTTTTTCAGTTTGTTTATTCAGGCTGCGGGGGCTTTGGCTTTATATTATCGCGGAGGTTTTGAAGTGATTTAGTGCCCATCTGCGTGAAGTCAGGGCGAACCTCTTCCCGCGCCTTTCTTTCTCTCAATTTTTTGGCTTCGAATTCTAGATCTATAAGCTTCGGCGCTATCGCGTAGGTTTTAGCTTTCTACTCTTTCGCACGCATCTGCGTGAGGTCAAGCCTAACCAATTCCCAAGCCTCGCGCGCAGGCTCATAAGCTTGCACGCCCATAAGCTGTTCATAAGTGCTGGCGCCGATGCTGATGGTGATGGGGGTGGAGGTGATGCAGGCCCGCCGATCGGGTGGGGTGGGGCGCGTAGGCTCCTAAGTTCACAGGCGCAGGCCCATAGGCTCAGAACTTCGGAAAGTTTGGGAAGTTTGACGGAAGGCTTCGAAAGTTCGGAACGGTTCGGAAAGGCTGGTAACAAAGTTAGCAAAGTTCGGAAAGTTGGAAAAATTGGGGGAGCCCAGAAAGCTGGGAAGGCTGGGGAAGTTGCGAACTGCTCGGAAAAGTTTGGAAGAGTTCGGAGAAAGGTTGGAAAAAGTCCGGAAAAAGTTGGGGAAGCTGGGGAAAATTGGAAGGAGGTGCGAGAAGCTGCGGAAAGCTGGGGGAAGTTGTGAAAAGTTGGGGGACAAAAGTTGGGGAAAGTTGCGAAACGTTGAGGGAGCGAGGTCGCGAAAAGCTGCGAAGAGTCATGAAAAGTTGCGACGTGAAAGCCGTGAAAAGTTGAGAAAAGGCGCAGAAAGGTGGGGGAAGCTAGTAAAAGCTGGGAACAGCTTGGAAGAATTGGGAGAAGCTGGGAAAAGTGGGGAATGTTTGGAAAGCTTGGAGGGCTTGGGAAGTTAGAGAAGCTGCGAAAAGTTGGAGGAAGGTTGGGAGAAGCTGGGAAAAGCTGGGGAAAGTTGGGAGAGTTGGGAAGGCTGAGAAAGTAGGAGAGAGCTGGGAGAAGTTGGGGAAAGTTGGGAGAGCCTGGAAGGCTTGGAAGGTTAGAGGAGTTGCGGAAGTCTGTGAAAAAGCTGGAAAAAAGCGGGGAAAAGCTGGAGAAAGTTGGGAAAAGTGGGGAGAGCTGGTAAGGCTGATAGAGTTTGGGAGAGCTGGGAGAAGTTGGGGAACGTCTGGGAAGCTTGGGAGCTGGGGAGGCTGTGAAAGCTGGGGAAGCTTGGGAGAAGCGGGGGAAAGTTTGGAAATTTCGGAAAGTTTGGAAAGTTCGAGAAGTTGCGAAAAGTTGGAAAAGTAAAAGGCTTGGAAAAGTAAAAGGCCCGGAGAAAGTTGGAAAGAGCTGGAAAGAGCTGGAGAGAGCTGGAAAGAGCTGGAAAAAGCTGGAAAGAGCTGGAGAAAGCTGGAAAAAGCTGGAAAAAGCTGGAAAAAGCTGGGAAAAGCTGGGAAAAGCTGGAAAAAGCTGGGGAAGTGTGGAGAGCTTGGAAAACTTGGAAGCTTCTGAAAGCTTGGAAAGCTTGGGAAGTTAGAGGAGCTGCGAAAAGGCCGAAAAAAGCTGGGCAAAGTTGGGAAATGTGTGAAAAGTTGGGAAAAAAGTTGGGAAAAGCTGGGAAAAGTTGGGGCAGTTCGGGGAGCTGGGAAAAGTGGGAAAGTTTGGAAAGCTCGGGAAGTTAGAGAAACTGCGACAAGGTGGAAAAAGCTGGGGAAAGCTCGGAGAGTTCGGAAAGCTTGGGAGGCTTGGAAAGTTTGGAAAGCTAGGGGAGCTGCGAAAAGTTGAGAAAAAGGCGGGGAAAGCTGGGGACGCTCGGAGGGCTCGGGAGCTGGGAAAGCTGAGAAAAGTTGCCAAAAGTTCGGAAAAGCGCGGGAAAGTTCGGACAAGTTGGGAAGAGCTGGGGAGAGCTGGGAAAAGTTGGGAAGGTTTGGAACGAAGCGCATGAGCCAGAAGCGGAAGGCTGAGAGCTTGGGGGGGTGCTGTCGTTTGTGTCTTCTGCCATTAAGTTGGGAAAAGTGAGGGAGAGCCGGAAGAAGTTCGGGAGAGCTGGAAGAAGTTCGGGAAAGCTGGAAGGAGTTAGGAAAAGCCGGAAGAAGACGGGGGGAAGCCGGAAGAAGTTCAAGAAAGCTGGAAGAAACTTGAAAAGCTGGGGGAAGCTGGAAAGAGTTGGGAAAAGCTGGGAAAAGCTGGGAAGAGCTGGGAAGAGCTGGGAAGAGCTGGGAAGAGTTGGGAAGAGTTGGGAAGAGTTGGGAAGAGTTGGGGACAGTTGGGAAGAGTCGGGAAAAGTCGGGAAAAGCCGGGAGAAGCTGGGAAAAGTTGGAAAAAGCTGGAAAAAGTTGGAAAAAGTTGGAAAAAGTTGGAAAAAGTTGGGAAAAGTTGGAAAAAGTTGGGAAAAGTTGGAAAAAGTTGGGAAAAGTTGGAAAAAGTTGGGAAAAGTTGGGAAAAGTTGGAAAAAGTTGGGAAAATTGGGGGGAAGCTGGAAGGAGTTGGGGAAAGCCGTAAGGAGCTGGGGAAAGCTGTAAGAAGTTAGGGAAAGCTGGAAGAAACTTGAAAGGCTAGGGAAATTTGGGAAAAGCTCGGAAAAGTTGGGAGAAGTTGGAAAAGTTCGGA